TAACAGTGAGCTTTTAAGCACCCTTTGGTGAAGTCTTCACAGGCTCAGTGGAAACCTTAAGGTAAAAGAATCATGGTCTAAACAGGTTGCCAGGTGAGATGACCAGTCTCATGACCTCCTTTCCTGTCAAACAGCATCCCAGACAGCACCTGCCTGGGGTTGGGGCTGGGGAACCAGGACTAACTATCTTTGACATTTCTCTTTTACGCTGTTTCCTTTACATATTACACAGTAAACTGGTTTGCTGTATAGTATTAAGGTCCACATATGGCGGATTTTTTTTTTTTTTACGCTGGAAATTTGTGGAAAAGAACTTCAGAATGACAGGAGGTACCATCTGAGGAGGAATCATTTTCTGTCTTCTACCATAAGCTTCCCAGCATGAGTCAGTGTATTGATAAAACCTCTGAAGTCTTTTCTGAACATTTGTGCTCTCACAATCAGCTGAAAAAGCAACCCCTTCATTCATCAAGACAGAACCCAAGAATCCTAATAGGGATAAACTATGTTAGCACTCCCAGCCCAGCCTGAAAAGGTCTGCGCTAATGTTTAAAACCTAAGAGGAATGTGGTGTGAAAGGGTGGGGTACAGAGTCTGCCTTGAGAAGCAGTCACTTGATGAATATCACAAATCCAGTAATTTTTTGACATTAAATTTCAGAACTTGCTGGTAATTTGCATTCACACAAAAGAAATGAAACGCTTTTTAAAATACGAAATGTTCTTTAAACATTACATAGACCCATTTGCCACATGAAATGACAAAAAGAATCTTTTCCCTTAATCTTTCCAATTCCATGCAAACCATAATTGGGTACAAGGCACCAAATTGTCAGAACTGTATAAAATTAGTTCACAAAGCTTTATCAGTAAGTAAAACAAAACTCCATTTCTCCCTTCCCCGCCAGCCCACCCCCTCCCACCACCACTCCCACCCAAGTTGTTGTCTGCACTACTGTTGACCTCTTCTGGGCTTACAGTGGGGCACCGGTGAGGCTGAGCCCCACTGCCAGCCAGCCCACCTCACTAGTTCTTCCCTTGCCCTTGGATGGAGCTGCAAGCACAGCCAGAGAGCAGGGAACTCATACAATCATTGACTCTAGAAGCCTTGCTGTTAAAAACAAAAATAAACTCTGCTATTTGAGTCCATAGGACACATTAATACTTCTACAGTTTCCAATTTTTATTCATGACATTTTAAGAGACATCTGGAAATCCTTTATATAGAGTGGACCTGCCCATTGTCAGCCCGAGAGGGGCTTGATCAAAGCTGGAAATAGCTCTGCCCACCACTTAATAAGAGCCTCACTTCCAAGGGCAGTCCTAAACCTTTTTTTTTTTTTAAAGTATGGATGTTCATCTCAGGGGGAACCACAAGTATAAGGGTCAACTAGACTGAGGTAAGATTCTAATTTTTGAGGGCCTGGGTGCATTCATGTAGGCTGGCTATAGCGGAAAGTAAACATGCCAGCCAACTATGGGAGGTCCTAGAACAGAAGCTGAGGACTACCTGCCCTGGGAGGGATGCAGGCCCGTAAGGTTCCAGTTCACAGATCTTGGGTTTGATTTGGCAGCATCTAGTTAACTTCTCCTTGGATCTTACTTCCTTCTCTTTAGAGTAAATTTAAAGTAAGATACAATTAAGAAGCTCATCTCCTTTCAAGATGTAAAGAAATGAAAGGCAAAGGGACATTTCCCCTCCTAATAGCCACTGGCTTATGCAGCAGGGAATGCTTTTTATAAACATCCCCTTAGGATTTCTCAACAGCACCTAGTGCTGCTGCCACTGGGGACCTACAGTGCCTATGGCTGTAGCGGGAGTGGGTCCCTCTATGACGGTGGACCTCAGTGGGGACTTTGCTATTGATTTCTACCCCAACTCATTTTAAATTATTTTACTAATTTGATATATGGGTGCTTAGCTAAGTTAAGCATTTGTTTGACATAGTCCTTAATCTGCTTAATAATCCTTATAACATTTGGTATAAAACTATTTTTAAAAATTAAATTTGATGATCTTTTCATTTTCCACGAAATGTTTATTAATAACTTCCCCCCGGACAGCCTGAGGAATGAAGTCGGTGCTCTATTAGCTCTCAATCTTGTAAGTTCTCTTTTTCTAGAATAATAAATATAGAATTCAATGAACGATGAGGCACAACTTATATTTTTCCTTTCCTTTTTACTCTCTCTAGGTTTTTCTTTAAAAGTTAAAGGACTTTTCTGTCATCACCAAAAGTCCTCAACAATCGTGCTGACTTAAAATGCGCATCTAGAGAGTAAAACTTCACAACAGAGCCTCTGGCAGTATGGGCGGCTGGGACACTTTAAAACAGTGTCCAGGAGAGGATGGGCCCGGGGCAAAGCTTGTACAAAGAAGCCTGCAGTAGACAATATAAACCAAACAGCATAAAAAATGCCATACGCTATCGCTTCCAAATAAAAGCTAAATATTACAGAAACCTCACAGTGTTGGATAAAGCAAGTTTAATTTAAAACAGTCACTCCCCTTTCCTTATCAAGGTGAGCCATTGTGTGTCCTTTTCTCTTTGTCCCAGTGCTGTCTGGCAAGTCCTGTGAGAGAGTTCATCTCAGAAGAGGTCAACAGCAAATGCTACAGATCTGCTCAGGAAATGAGGCTCATCAGCATCACTAAAGCCACTAAACCACTCTCAGTCTTCAGCCTCTTTCCCCACTTCCCTCCCTTCACATCTACTCCCTTCAAGTGACAACTGTACTTCTACCTGAATTCAAATATGATATACTCAGTCAGAAGATGAGTATTCATTGTGTCAGGCTGAGGCTCACTGCAGCAGCCACACTGGGTGCACATTCTTGGGGGAGTCTAAGTGAAGGGCGAGCTGGTGCCTGTTGGGGAGAGGGTTTCCCCCCTGGGCAGTTCTAGTCCACTCAGAAACTGAGCCAGTGGGAACAGGAAGTTTGATTTTACTAGTCTTAGGGAAAAGGACATGGCACTCTTGGTGTGGGTGGGAAATGGGTCAAGACTGAGCAGCACAATGGGTATTTAGGGGGCATATTCCTGGGCAGTACCCATGCCGAGGAAAGCAAAAGCTCCTAATCCTGGTTGTGAACAAGAATGTTGTAGCTCTCCAGGTCCAGGAAAGAAGCTGCAAGCCACCCTGTGGAAAAGCATGGGAAACAGCCGGCCAGGTAAGTCTAGGACTGCCGGCTCTGTATGCCCACCCCTAAAACCAAAATAAATACTTGGCCTAGATAGGTGGATTAGGGATTTGCTTCAGAACCAGGATAGGTGCCAGGAGTGCCCTTTTGTCCAGCATGAAACAACACACAATAGGCTGTTGCTTCCCCTAAGAACTACCCTTTCTTTAGAATGTAGATACTCATAGCAGTCTGAGAACAAAGGAATAACTAAGTGACAGCAGCAGGCAGGGAGGCCCGACACTTGATAAACCTCATTTGCATGGAGAATTTGCTCCATGTACTTCACTCCACTCTTCAACCATTACTCCCTAAGAAGGGAAGCATGCAGGTTTTCAACTTTTGAGGGATACTTCCTCTGTGGGAATAAATCCTTTGACTTCACCATCCCCTTCTGAACCAAGTGTACCAGCACACGGGCAGCCCCCGGCTCCTCACAGCACATGCTCCAGGGCTGCCCACAAAGGTGTTGCCAGGAGGCCCCTGATCACCAGGACAGTCATGTAACAGAAAGAAAACATGGCTTCTTTTCTGGCCAGATCAATTTACACCCTTTTCCTCTACACAGGCCCCTCTATATTCAGAATCTTCATAGAAGTTACTCCTTTTGATTTGTTTTATGAAAGGAGGGTATTTCCAAATTCATTCAAAAGGAAGTGACTATGAATTTTATGAGAGGGCCGGAGTTACCTGGTTGGTACCTTCTATCTCCAGACCCAGAGCCAAACCTAGCACTCTGTTCCAGCTGTCAGCCTTATTTCCTACTTTCAAAAACAAGCCAGTCCTTGATAACGTGCCTCCCATTCAGGGGAATGTCTGTGGTTTGGCCTCGTCGTTCCTGGGCTGCCCCTGAGCTTGGAGTTGGGTTTCTGAGATTCTTGCATTGCCCTGCACTGTTCTTTGAGTGTAAAACAGGATGTAGGCCTGGGTTTTGCACACTTCCTCGACACTGCATACATTCAGCTTGGAGTCATTGCAGTGGACCCAAAAACCTAGAAAACCAAAGGGAAGAAAGAAAATGACTACTCAACTTTTATATTTTTGATCAGGCAAAACCAAGGGCTAAAGAAAAGGGGCAGAGGGGTTCTGAATATAGCCAACCCTTGATTATCTGTGTAGGGGAAGAGACAAGAAAATGGAAGTCTATCAAGAGGTTTTGGCAATCCCATTCCCACAAACAACACCATAATACTACTTTTATTGACTGCCTGGAGATTTTGTCCTTGTTTTAGTCAAGGCTTCTTCATTGCCTATTAGGGTTTTTACAAAAAGAGCCAGGAAATCAGGGTTATGAGATAAGAAGAGGAAAGGAGGACTAAGAAAGGGAAAACAGAAATAAAAGGGAGTGATAAAGGAAAATTTAGAAGGAACAAAAATGCATTTGTTCAAAGGCTCTGGCAGCCCCCAGGGCTAAGGGAGTCAGTACATGTACACTGTTGGAAATGCATCCGCAGGCCACCTGCCTCAGGGCAGCTGCTGGGAGGGTCTCCTCTGGAGCATGAGGACTAGCAGTTGCTAAGCGGGGAAGGTCCTTGTAGTCCTACACTTCCTATGGTGCCCAGGACATAGTAAATGCTCAGTGTCCTCAGCTTTATTATGAGCTCAAATAAGATTAATAGAATATCTCCATGAGGTTAAAATGGTACTGTCGTTTCTGCATTACTAGGGAGAAGATGAAGGCCTATAGTAGCTTTAATAACGACAACCTCCCAAACTGAGCAAGCACTATGTGTTAGGCACTGTGCTAAACACGTTGACATGCCGGTTCCCTTGATGCCTTTATGCTGTTACTTAGAAAGTGATAGATCCAAAATTTCCAATTCAAGCTTCATAATTCATTCCCCTAGATTTTAATGGTATGTTCTTTCCTCCATAGATGACCATGGCTTTATAAAATGTGGACAAACCAACCCTCTTCCGTGTCCCCGTCCCCACAGAGTAAAGCGCACGCACCTCCCTCTGTGTTGTAGCAATAGGCTGTGTAGTGTCCTGAGCCAAACCCTTTCCCGTGATGCATGACCACTGCGGAGAGATCATAGGCAAAGGTCTCTTTTTCAAGAGAGGAGAGCATGTCCCTGCAGCAGTAAGGTTCCATGGTTAATACCTGGTCAAAGACGACATGGACCCCAATCTTCTCTCGATGATTACGGCCAGACCACCTAGGACATGGATATAAACGCTTTACTACTAAAAACTGGCATTTGTGATCATAGGTAAAACAGGGAACTAAGAAAACCTACACTTCCAACTGTGGTTTCCCATCATAAAGAGATGGCAGTAATAGTCCACATGCATTTTCTGTGAACACTCTACAGTAGGCTCTGAAACTAAACAACCAACTTGGGTAATAATTTTCTTACAATTTACTGACAGCCCTTCTTTTCATAGATTATCTTCTACTTTATCCTAAAGATGAAGTTACATAAGGCCAAGTGAAGTGAGAGAATCTTTCAACACAGATATCTAAGACGGCTGTCCAAGTAAGCAGAGCCAACTTGCCTAAGACATCAACTTGCCTAATGGGTGAGAAGACCAGAGTCTCCGTGGGAAGTACAAGGTCTCAAAGGAACAGGCTTTTCTTCCCAACACCAAAGACATCCATTTGCCCTCACAAAAACCTTTGAGGTAGCAATTCTCACAGCATCCTGGGATGCCCCAAGCAAACTCACCTGAATCTTTTAAGGTGCAGCCGGAGGACCTGAGGTAGTCTGTAGATCATTAACTGCTTTCTAGCTTCACTCAGAACAAGGGGTTTTGGATTGGATTTTCGTCGTTTGCCTATATGGTTTGGGAGGGTATAAGACATAGATTTGTCAAGAGTCTTATTCTTTCCTAGCTATGGCAGAGATAACACTTGCCATTCCATTTGCATTCTCTTTATTTCTCAATAGTTGAAGGTCAGTTTTACTTGGGGCAGCAGTGTACTACCCTGCCTCACACACTTGCACAGTGTGGTCATGCAAGAGCTGGCTGATGAGATGGCGGAATGACTATGTGGTACTCTAGGGATGACTGCTTAAGGAGGGCTGACTCCTTATGGTGCATCCTTTGTCCTTCGCACTGTCTGCAACTCCTCTTGGATCATGAGGTAACTTTGAGGCCAGAAGATACACTCAACAGCAGAGCAGAAAGAGGAGCTTGGCTCTGATGGCTATGCAGCCACCAAGCAAGAGGCCCAGAATGTGCTTCCGACTTCCCTACCTAAAGCAAAAATAAAGCTCTATCTCATTGTAAGCTACTGTTCCTAGGGGTAACTGTTGAACCAAATCAAATCCTGATAACACCCATTTTTAAATTTTTGCCATCACCAACTTGCAGAGTTGGTAAGGGTTCCGTAAGATATGCTTCCGATATCAAGGATTTGTTAATGGAACAATGTTTACTACAAGGTCACTGAAATGTGGAGATAGAGAAGCATATATTTGGGTTTATACTTTTATATATGGGCTTGAAAATTATATTATGACACCATAACAACTTGAAAAACTTTTTTTTTACAACAAAAGCAAATAGGCTTAATCATACTTCTTGTTGTCCATACTAATGGACAAGTTATTCAGTTTCCTACCAGTAAATAGGGTGATAATATATGTGTTTCAGACTCAGAAAGAAGATAATAAGATTGTAGATTAATAGAGGATAGAATATTTAAACAGACATTCCTTTTAGCAAAAGTTGCTTAATAGTTACACCTATTTAGAAAGGACACTGCTAGCTGTATTTAAGTGAGCCCTGATGGTGGGGTGACCCAAAGGCTGTGTCCCTGGTGGTTCAAATCCATCAGCGGCTCTTCAGGAGAACGTAGGGCAGTCTCCCAAAGTGATTTACAGGTTTGGAAACCTGACAGAGGGTGAGTTATGAGTTGGTTTAAACTGCATGTCAGTGAGTGTGTTCTATATATGTATGCCATGCTTAAAATGAAACAAGTTTCTTGGCAAAAAGCTGGACATACAAGACAAGGCTGACTGTCCTCCTGTTTTAAGCTGGCCTACTGCTTACACTCTGATCTTCTTTCTAAAGCTGCTGAATTGTGGGGGAAATGCATTTTTAAATTTCAAAGTAATGGACAGAAATGTTCTCTTAATTTCCAGCAGAAGTCTTCTAACCACTTACTGATGACTGCTCTGTTATTATATTAATTTAGTTGGTGAATAATAGGGAATATAAAATTAGTAATGGTCCACTGTGGTGCCTGCTGATTGCCTCTGAACTGATGCTATCATATAGTCTCAGTGTCTGAAGAGCTGGGCATTTGAATCCAAGCCCTGTCTGGACCACTTGAGAAAGGTAGTAAATCACAGTTACGTGACATATCAGAGTTTTTTATGACAATAGGAAGTGGAGCTGTTGCTTCTCATAAGACTGCGGTACAATGAGTATACCATCGAAGCAGCTTATGCAGAGCTGGTAGTCATATGTTGGGGCATGAACAGAAAGAGAATTCAAAAGAGGGACCTGGCTTTATTTTGTATTCCTAGTCACTAGTCAATTTTTGAAAGTTACTGCAGCTGTTTGGGAACCCTGGCAGTGACTGCCACACTCAGCAGAGGGAGTATGTGAGCTAAGATGAAGACAATGCAGAACCTGGCTTTGTTTTCCTAAAATGAAATTCATTCTCTCTCTCTCTCTCTCTCTCTCTCTCTCACACACACACACACTCTTAAAAAATTACTGATTCAACTGAGACTGATCAGTTCTGTTGCTGTTTGCTTAAACTGGCCACACAGCAAGGCAGAAGGCTGATAGTTCTGAAACTTCACAAGCAAATCAAAGCCTCTTGTCTCCTCCCTGCAGATTTATTTTCCTATCGTTACTGGCACTTGTCTAGAGAAATTGTGAAAATTAGCATGTCCTGGCAACCAGAAAAATAATTCTATTTTTCCCCCCAAAGAAATAAATGTACTTCTTGCCTGATCTATCTTGTCTGAGAATGATGGTGTTAAAGCTGTTAACATACTACTGCTCCTTGCAGGCAAAAAGCTTTATAATCACTATTCAAAAACATAACCAGATAATCTGTTAATAAAAGAGTTCTTCTCCCTCTGTATCACAATATGGAACATGACAGGTGGGTACACTGTTAACTAGGAATAGCATTTCTAGTGTTTTTAAATGTCAAAATGATTATCAAATCGACTTGATATTTGCTCTGATTCTTCAAAGAGCAAAGGTTTCCCATAAAAACTATATGCAAACACATTAAAAAATGCTACCAAAAGATTTTATTCCCCTCTCAAAACCTTGTAGTCTAAACTATTACATGGTTGCAAATTGATTTCTAGTTCTCTGCACAATCCATCACATCCTCAATGTTCAGATCTTTGTATTCTGGTAAAAGCACATGTGAGCTCCCATGTATCTGTTTTCCGTTTCCTTTCCATGCTAAGTTAGCAGAAGCATGGGCTGTGGCAAGCCAGGCATGGGCTCTGCATAGATGGCCACATACACATATGGAAACGATTTCAATTTAAAATGAAAGCTGCAACAGGAAAGAATTCCTTATGATTTTTTCTGAAATATGAACCTTTCAAGAATGTGAAGGAAAAACCCCTCACAAACCCTCAAAATACCTAACGCTACCAATGAGCCACACACCCTCAGACTTGCTTTCTTGGCTTCACCGTACCAGTTTTTAGCATCCTTTCTGACACACTTCTGTATCTGTCAGTGCAGTGCCAAAGCATTCTGATACCACAGCCCTCAAACAGGCTGTGCCACCTGAATTTTGATTAACATGTTGCCGCAAATGACGGCAAATATGTTTCTAAGCACGGTCGTCAATTGAAAAAGTGCGGCAACGTGTTAAGTAAGAACTGTCAGGCTCCACATTGATTCATTCATTCAAGTGTGGCCCCTATTGCAACATGATGCTAAATTCTGATACTCTTAGGTTCCCATTTTAGGAGCCACAATTTCAGATGCCTCCTAGTAACAACTAATGCCAATCATGAGGGGCCAAAGGGGGCATAAGCCATACATTTACTTTTTTCAAAGTATGTAACATTTATACATATTTTAGCTTTGTGTTCAGCAAAATGGAAAAGAAAAAAGACCTTCTTTAAAAGATGCCCTAAGAACTCAATCCCATCAGTGTGATTTCGACTAGAGGGGCAAAAGCAGCACCTCACCCTGACATTCCAGTTGCACCCCCACCCCATCTTCCACACAGCACTCACTGTTACACTGGTCACAAGCGTAGATTCTCCCTTCCAGGGCCTCTGTCTCTGTGAACTTGGCCAGCATCTCAGTGAGCAGGCACTCTGTCTGATTCAAAGGGACAAACCCCTTTTCTATGCAGTGGTAGCGTTCAGGGAATTCCAGGGACAGATCCCAAAAGGGCTCAATGGTATTGGATTTGTAATTGCATGCTATACATGTGACCTAGAATGAAAAGATTCATTTACAGGTGATATAACTTCCATGCTTCCCACATACATTTTGTGCTCATTTTATTAAAGACATGTAACTTGAGCAAAACTAGATGTATGGTTTGAAAAAAATAGAGTATCAAAGTAATAAATATCATTTTAATGAAAAGAATTAGTACATATAACCTCTGGCATACATTTCTAAATATGTGGTGTTTGCTGAACTAGAAGACCACATAGCACAGAGACAATTACCTACCCTTTTTCCCTCCTCCCTTCTCTCTTAAGGCAAGTGCCAACATTGAATGCCACAGCAGTACAGACTGGAAGTGATGGGCTCATGCGCGAAACTGGTCTGAGGTGAAGAACTTGCTGGCCATGATGTGGTTCCCTAACTCACACACTCTTGCCTCTGTCTCTGCTGCTTGTACCTCATCCACCTGGCCTCACTCCCTGCCCTGCTCATGGCACTCTTCCCGATCCCTGTGTCTGCAGAGCCTCAGAGCACTGCTCGTTTAGAACTCCTCTCCCACTATCACCTTCCCAGATATAGAGAAAGTGCTTATGAGCTTACTCCTCTTACACGTGCTACAAAATAAAGACTGAAATAAAATTATTCTTATCCCAACTCATCATACTTTACAAAACTCTTTAAAAACCAAGGCATAAAACCTCAATGTTGAGGTTTTACCTGGCTCCCTTAAATTCATGCCCTTCTTTTTTGTACTATAAAAAAGTCTCTTTCTGCATATTCTTCCCTTATATCCTTAGATGGTGAAGTATCCAGGAAAGCAAGGGCCATGAGGACCAGGAAGGAGGCTTGCTTGCTCAGACCTCTGGCATCTGCCCCACCATCTCCCTTCCTTGTGAGGAATGTCTATCAAGCCCTGGGGGGGAAGATGGGTCTTTCAGAGTACTTTGGAACAGGACTACAATCATGCTCTGTTTAGTTTAAAAAAAAACACAAAAAAACCCAAAAAACAAAAACAGTAAAAATATGTTACCCATATTACCTTTATAGGTAAAGACCTCCACTGAAAATGAAGCAACAGGCAAATTAAACAAAAAAAAAATCTGGCCAGGAAGATAGGAAGGAGGCAAGTTCACAAACAGTCCCATCAAAGTACTATAAAAAGTACAATGGCTATTCTCAAATAAATACAATTACAGAAATACTGGCTATTATAATTAGTCTAAGGAGCCCTGTGCAGTGGCCTAAGCACTGACCTACTTATCTAAAGGTTGGGGGTTTGAATCCACCTGCTTGTCTAGGGGTCTAAGCTGAGACCGTCTGCTTCTGTGAAGGTTCACAGCCTTGCAGCTACTATTGCATAGCTTTGCTGTCTTGTTAGGGTCTTTGTCAGCTGCATGGCAATGGATTTGCTTCCTCCTAATTAGCACAGCAGCCTGGGGAGTATAGCACACAAGCCTCCCTCCCATGTGATTGCAAGAGTTGGGGTCAGGATGGAACAAGCACCTACCTGACTAAGGAGCTGCCCGTGGAATATGGTATTCACCACCTTTAAGACCTGCTTGGTAAGCTTCCGCTGGGAGAAGGGGATGAGGATCCGGTGCGTGGTCCCCTCAGCCTCGAGTTCCTGCTGAACTTTATGCAGGAGCTCACAGAGAAACTCCTGTGCATCCTGCTGGTCGTAGCCTCGGAAGGCGGGGATCAGGCTCCACACAGAGTGAAGCATGGCGAAGGGAGACACGAGGGCCCACTTTCCAGACCACATGACTCGGAAGAGGGTGTGCAGTTCGTGGCAGAGGGAAATGTGCTTTGAGCTGGGCTCTTTGTTCTGGATGAGTTCTAGACTCCTGCTGATGGAGACCCCTCCGTTCAAGCAAAGACCCTCCCGGTCGCAAAACTCAGCCTTGTCGCTCCTGCTGGACACGTTGGTGGCTGAGCTGCTAGCAGGTTTGCTGGAGAGCTGAGCTTTCCCATTGGTTGCTTTGGAAAATAGTTGTTCCGTTTTGGAAGGGTCAAGATTCAAAAAACATTCTCGAAACTTCTGGAGGTGGCTCAGCACCTGGAGGATGGAGTTCATGTAGCAGGTGTTCCCCAGGTTCCGCAGGCCCGTGACGCCGGGGGCCACGGCTGGCTTGCGGTGTGGCTTGAGTTTGCCACCAGGGCCTTTCCGTGAGGTAGGGAGAGTGGAGGGCCGCCTCTGGGCCATGGCCTTGGCCACATTGCGGGGTGGGTGCAACAGCAGCCGCGCGCTCTTGCGCGGAGGGGCGCTGGCCAGCTCTTCCAGGAGCCTCCGCTTCACTTCTTGTCGCCGCTGTCGCGCCTCCTCTTTCTTGCGCTCTAGCGCCTCCTTCTGTCGTCGCTGCTCCAGCTTGGCCTGGCCCCGGGAGCTCTTCTCGAACCAGATCCGCAGCGTCTTGGCCAGCAGGCGCTGGCGCCGGTACCACAGAGCCGTCAGCATCTGCGGCTGTCCCTGAGGAGTGCGCTGCAGCTGGACCAGATCCTCGCCCGAAGCCATGGACCGCAGCGTCCGCCCACGTTTCACCAGCTCGTCCTGTTTCTGGCCCCTGACTGCCAACAGGGAGCTTCTCAGCAATTTAAGGTCCCCCTCGGGGTTATCATTGAGTACGTAGTCCTTGCACAGGTAGCAGAACACGTAGAGATCCCGGACTTCCATGGCTAGGGGGTGTCCAGTCTCTTCAAAGTGTTTCAGAGCGTGATCCTCAATGTACCGGCCACAGGCCACGTGGGAGCACTTCAGACAAGCCCACACTGACTCCGTGGTGGAGCACTCCATGCAGCACCACTTCTGAGGGTTCAGGATGGAGTGGTCCTGGGCAAGGCGCAACCGCCCTACATGTTTGCATCTATCCATGTCTTAAAGAAGTCTCCACTCTTTTAACCTGGTCGGTAGGGCCAAAAGAAAAGGGCGGGAGGGGGGGGTGTGGAGAGAAAGAAGACAAGGAAATAAACTTTCAGCAAAATAATTTCCAAGAAAAAAAGACTTACAACTGCCACTTCCCATTGAAGGCTCACTGGTTTTCAAGTCAAAATTAGTTGCTTTGAAAAAGAGGCAAAACAAAAAAAATCAAATTTGGTATAAATACTGTAGACAGTTAAATTCGTAAGAAAGGCCTAATCATGATCAGTACGGGGGTCTTAGCACCAACTGGAAAGTTTTCACTTTGAAGCCCATTTTAATTCTTGAATGTCCATTATCTTTCTGTGCGGCTGATGTGTGTTCCTTAGGAAATCACAATGCACCCAGCTGATTACCAAGGGAAGGAACTTTGCATTCAGAATCATGTCTGAACTGATGATGTCCTGGAAGTGAGAGCTTCTGTAAGTAAGAGAGAGCTTACTTATCAAGATTGGAGGGGGGATGCTGTGGGGTGTGTGGAGAAAAAAATAGGCGAGAGGAGAGGAAAGAGAAGAGACGCAGATGATTGTGTAAATACCAGTAAGAGCAAGCAAGAGCCTCAAACAAAAAGACAATTCATTTCAGAGTTTAATGCATTTCAAACCAAAGATAATCAGATATGGTAAAGATAAAAGAGAAAGTCCTCTACAGTACAAAGCTTTATTTTTATTGAGTACAAAGGACCTGGCTCAGGAAAAAGACTGAACTTCAATCTAAAAAACACATTTTATGTGTACTTTTGAAACAGAACATTCACATATTGAAGGAAAAAAGTGGAGAATGTTCGTTCACTCTTTTTAGTGAATGGATGTGTAAGGAAAGAAATAGATAAATCTAACTCTTAAGACAGAGGAGGATTGGGTATTGAAATTACAGCATTTAACCAAACCAATACTAAGCATACAGAAATCTTCCAAGTGAAATATGTGAACTTTTAAAAACAACAACAACAAAAAAAAAACCCCAAACACAAAACGACCAACCAAACAGTGGCAACATAGTAGGTTCTCTTCTCTCTTTTCCTTTCTTCAATATGACCCATCAGAAAAACCTCACAATTTTT